GCGTTTTATGATTCAACATTTCTCTCCTCTTCATGCTTTTTTCACTCTTTCGCACTGGGAGACGAATTAAAAGCAAATATTTTTTATAAATTTATTTAAAAAAATTTTTTTTTATTATATTTTTATAAATAAACAAAAAGCATTAAGTCAGTATATTTTAATCAAATATAGTGCGAAAATGTCGAGATAATGCTCAAATTAAAAGTCTCATACAAAGTTTTTTCTTGAAATCATAATTAATTGTATTAAAAATATGAAATTCTTTGGGCCTGGAGACTTAAAAATAGCATAAAGATTTGGGCAAAAAAATTAATCAGTGGCTTAATTCTTAAGGTACCCTATATACACTTATGTCTAGACAGTGTCTTAATTTTTATGTAGTATCTTCTGTTTTTAATAAAATCTGCCTTTATGGAGAAATATTCAGTGGCCTATTTCTTAAGATACCCTACTTATACTTATGTGTACATAGTGTCTTAATTTTTATGTAGTATCTTCTGTTTTTCATAAAATCTAACTTTTATGGTGAGATATTCAGTGACTTAATTCTTAAGGTACCCTATATACACTTATGTGTATATAGTGTTTTAATTTTTATGTTATATCTTCTGTTCTTTGCAATATCTAACCATTATGGAGAGATACTACATTGACATACGAATGTCATCCGCTTAGATTCTTATTTGATGTATATTGACCGTTCTTTAAATAATCGTGGCTTTTGAACGATCAAATTATAAAAGACTTCAATAATATTTAAAAGAGTAGTTTATTCTTAAAGAAATGTTACACATAGATTGACATCTGGTAAACATCTGATTCCAATCATCAGTATAATTTTAATAGCCCTATTCTATGGAAAACTAAAGTGCCATAGACCAATTCATTATAATCATACTTAACCAGAAAAAATAGGATCATGAAAATTAAAATGCTAGACGCGGACGCAGGCTAGTGAAAAAAATTAATAATGTGTAAGGATCCTACCTATGTTGGCTATCTTACTACTTCAACCCTAGGGAATATAGGATTCAAGTATTCACGATAAAGTTTTAAGGTAGAAACTTTCTGGTATTTCTATCCCTCTGGAAAGAGAATGTTTTAGTTCGTGAAAACCGAGCATACGACAATTGTTGAAACATAGTGATTATACGTTGGCATAAATAAAGTAAAAGACTTGCATTTAAGAGCATTTTAGACAAACATTTGCAGAAAAAATATTTTCCCAAAGTTCTGGCCTTCTCACAAGCTATTGAAAAGTTAAAACCTTTGTTATTATTACAAATCTATGACTTTCTAGCATTAAGTTTCGAACAAAAAATTTCGAGTAAATTACAAAAAAACTTAACATTTAGTGGACATAAAAACTGGGGTATGTTATGGAGTATACTTGACAGTTGAAGTTGGGGTCGAGTATGATGAAGCATTATTAGCTAAAACCTACTCGAGCTAATGTTCACAAAAAGTTTAAACTGTAACTCATGCTGTGATAACTGAAGAAATTAGTTTATCATTTAAGCTAAATAATTTAATTAGCAATAACCTTATTAATAATAAATTTACAAATCGCTCTGGATGAAGTGGGGGATACAGGGGGACAGGGGATAGCAATCTGTTCCCTTGACCCCATTGAGAATAGAATCTAAATGTAATAAAAATTAACCAATTCTAATATATGTCGGTATTTATATTGTAGTACTAATATTAACTAAAGTTTTGGTTATGAAATATTAAGAACAATTTATTAATAATCCATTAATCAATCACTTTGATACATCCCTGAATGCACTATGTGGATGTGTACATAAATTAAACTGCTGCTTAGTTTTTTTATAATTATTACTATAATTGTAATTTCGTCGAATTTTCTATTAATATATCCCGACCTCTTTGCCACCAACCATGCTACGCCACTGCCAGAGCATATCGCTAAGGGCACCGATATACAGTCCCTCTTGAAGATCGTCAAGAAGTACTTTCTTTAATTTCCTTTACCAAGGTAATTGTTAGTTTTTATAAAAGGATTAAAGAGAAAGATACTTTATGATTTAAGGATATAAAAATAAAAGATAAACAATTGGTTGCACTACAAAAGTGTTTAATTGGAGCTAGAAGAGTAATCAAACCGTAAACCTACAAAACTTTAGAAAGATAAACATATATACTGACCTCTAAATGTTATATACCATTATTATAACTATTCGAAGATTGAGTAGTTAATAGTAATTTTTAATTCATATAAACGAACAAGTAGAAAATAACTATTTAAATAAAATATAAAAGGGTAAAAGAGATATAAATCTATATTGTTTTTAAAACAATATATGTCAATTTCTGTGTTAAAATTAGTCTTCTGACTATTTAATAAATACTATAGAGTTCCTGCATCGAGTTTAGCTATAACTTGGCGGTATTGACTTACAATAATAAAAGCAAGTAGCAGTAGATGAATATCTATACGAATAACAACTCTCCAGTATTTCGTTGTTGAAGAAACACCCGTTCTTTTCAGAGAAAAATTATGTTAGAGTGTATTCCCGTGGACGAAACAAAGTTTTAAATATTATTAAAATTTAACTTAGGTTTAAACTTGAAACATTCCTATGACGTATTTTAAAAAAATAACTATGAATCAACAAAGATGCAAGATATGGAAGAGATTAGTAATAGGGTTTTCTAATGAAACATTACATCACGTTTTTTTTATTAGTGGTATGCAGTTATAGTTAAAAACACGAAACATATTACTTTCAGAGCATATGTTAATACTTGCCCTAATTTTATTTTATCAAAAAACTTTTTTATATTAAAATTAAGAAAAGAAACCTGCGCTCTGATTGTTAAAAAAAACTTGGAAAATAATTATAATCCCAGTAGTATTTTCAAAATACTGAGATATCCACAGAGATCTGAGAGTCGATTCAGTCAAAAAAAACATTAAAGATCGTGCTCTGAAACTGTTCAATATAATTGACAGTCACAATAATCCACAACTCTCAGCATCCTAAAAATACAGCGTAATTTGATAAACACAGGCAGATACAAAGACATCAGATCCATCATATTATAAAGCACCGTATTCAGTTATTCTTAGTGTGACTTAAAACTGTCCAAAGATAAAATAGAGTAAAGGTGCTGATTCACCAACTCAGACATCTGAATATCAATATATGTTCCTCTAATCATATAACAAAGAATAAAAGATCTTTAATATAAAAATACAATTAATAATTAATAATTATAAAATATGTATTTCTTATATATATCGGTTCCAAAATATTATAGTTGGTTTCTTAAAGAAACCGTATTTATGTGAGAATAAAATTGCCAAAGATTTTCATTTCAAAATCAAGGTATTAAGTATATATCTATACAGAAAGTTGATCTGCACAAGACCCAACTGAAATTGTACTTTTTCATACATCACTATTCTAAATATAACTATTAACAACAAAGTTGTTAATATTATTTGATTATCCAGTTCATATATAAAAAAAAATACAAAAAAATGAACACATCCAGAACAAAAACATTCACAAGACTCAATTGTAAAGAACTAACCTCGCAGGTTCATTGGTCGATCACCTTAGAGAACTATGGTCTTGCTTAAAACTTTTATTTCAAAAATTAGGAGTAAATTAAAAGTTATTAGTTGTTCTTCAACAACTTTTTTTTGTTGGTAGAATCAAATTAAATTTCAAAAAAATAAAATACAACTTCTTTAAAAGTTACAGCTTATAATGACAATTCTGTATAGAAAAGTACGACTAGGCATTACAAATACTTGTCTAGTTTGCTTTTAAATAATTTTTGCAAGTCAAGTTTTGTGTATTTTTTAATTGTCTTTTATTTAGGACTAGGACTTTAAGGAAGCAAACATTAAGACTTTTGAGAGAGCCGGATAATAATATTTTTTAAAAGTTTTAAGATCTCTTAGGTCGAGTAGACATTGCAACTATTTGCGTACTGTGACACTAAATAATATTTGTAAGATAATCTTTTTACATTGCTTATTTGTTTGTTCTATATACGACAAATAGTTCTTATAGGGAACATATGTACAGATTTCAAAGAAAGCCGGACAGTAATACTTTTAAAAATTTTAAGATCTCTTAGATCAACTAAGCATTGGAACTACTTGCTTACTTTGCCCTAGACAGTTTTTACAGTTTTAGGACTAGTACTTATCGGGAACAAATAAACAGATTTATCAGAGAGCCAGACAATAATACACTTTAAAATTCGTTGTGTCTTTGATATCTGATTTCATATACCTACTACTACTCGTGATATTAATTGATCGAAATATACTAAAAATATTAATGACGCATTTATTGTAAAAATTATGCATTTATATAAATGATTTAACGCTAACGTTCTGGGTATAGTAATTTTAGTGTAGATGGACAGTAATGCAATAACAAAATACACTCTAAACCCGATTTAAAGAATTTTTGAAACCTGGTTTCAGTATGCTATTTGTTCTTCTTATTGAAATGGATTATACTAAGAATGATAGATTATGTTATATTCTATTTTTTTTGCCTTAGTACTAACTGTTGAATTATGTTTCCCGTTAAGCTTCTTAAATATTTAAGTTTTTGTTTTTAAGTTAAATTTAGTTTTCAAAATCATTTTGTTAGTATAATCAGAGTAGAATATTAAATAAATAAGGTCAAAAATAAAGTTTATTTTAAATATTTTAAAACATAAAATTCTATTAAATATTTTGTCCATGTAATGTTATAAAAATAATATATAGCAATTTAACCAATTTAATTCAAAATGAATTTTTTAAATGTGTTAAAATTTAATGCAAAAAAAAAATAATTAAAATAAATTACTTTAAATGATATCGCAATATTTCAATAATAAAATATCTTCAGAGCAAAGAAATAATTAAAATAATTTATCTTTATTTTAACAACACAAAAACGTGAACGTTTTATTACCCAAATTTTAAAAGTAAATAAATTAAAAAAATCAGTTAAAAAACTCACACGCAATTTTGACAGTTGTTTTGAACTTCGCTCTATATCTCCACCACTACCTCTCTCTCTTTTTCTCTCTCACAGTGTGTGTCGTTTTTTTTTTGCGCTCTCTCACTGTTGTGCAAATATTCACTGTTTTGTTGTTTGTTTAGTTTCGTTGTTGTTTGGCCGGAAAAGCAGAAGCAGAAGAAGAAGAAACAGCAGATCTTTTCAATTTTTTCAATATTTTAAATCAATTTAACTATAGAGGCTTAAAGCAATAATTGCTTTTCTTTTATTTATTAAAGTAATAAACATTTATTCATATTAAAAGCAGTTGAGTTTTTCGTCAACAGCTGCCATATTTAAAAAACAAAATTTCATTTGGGCGCACAACACATAAAAAAACAACAACAATTTAAGCTCGACTTTGTTTGGATTGACGTTGCAGCAATATTTGGCTTTTTATGTTATTTATTTTATTTACACAAAATTATTATTTACAAAGTGCACTTAAATTTTCTTTCATTTTTTTTTTTGGGATTTTTATTTACTTTTCATTTTATTTCTATTTATTTTAATGGATGTAAAAAATAAAACACAAAACACGCGCTCGCGAACTGAACAATTGGACGTCGGCATTTAACTGTTCAACTTCAGCGATCGAAGTTATTGTTTACGTGAGCGAGAAGAGCAGCGCAGCTTTGCGCAGCGCAAAGCTTGATAAGAAGTTGAATTGAACTGAATAAAGCAGAAAGAGAGTCATGCAAATTTTGTGTTTTTGTTGTCAGCTGTTGTAGACAGGGTGTTTCTGTTAGATGTGCAAAACACAATGTAAAGTATTATATATTAATACACGTAATATAATGGCCGAATGCGAATTTGAGTAATTTAATGGCAAATTGAGGGAAATGGTAAACTATGTCGGTATGGCAGCGAATGTTAGTATATCTCAGAATTTCGAGTAGATAAAAATTAGGTTAATAAGGTATTACCATTGTAAAAATTTTATAAGATGTTTAATAAATAAATAAATAAATTTGAAAACTTAACCAAAAATAAAAAATAAGTACAATAAGTAAATAAATAAATATTTACATAAGTGCAGTACAAAAAATCCCTAGAAAATTTCAATTTACTTTACTTCAATTTACTTTACTTCAATTTACTTTACTTCAATTTACTTTACTTCAATTTACTCGAACTCGCACATGACCCATAACTGACGTATTAAAGGCTGTAACATTTCTAATTAAAAACTCTTTAAAAAATAATTTAATTTAATTATATAGCATTTTATTTTATTTATTCAGTTTTAATTGAAAAGTAAATATGTTTTCTGACTGTTGATTAATGTTTGTATATAAAATTTAACCTTGAATTTTTATGTTTGAATTTTTCATTCATATACTTTCAGTCTATAATGTTACAGCCCTAAACTAGCATAAAATGAAATTAACATAAATTATTTAAATTATTTGTTTATAAAATTTATGACATCGTTTACGCTAATCATTTAAATTTTATTTGAAATTTAACTGTTTGCTTGGTACTAAACAGTTGAAGTCGTTTTTTTTATAATAATGCTGGACTACAAGTTGTGTATTTGCACTCTATGGCTTACTGTAAGCATATTAAGTTATTACTCTCTTGATCAATCGAATTAATTCACTTGCATTTATACTGTGTAATGATACTTTATTTATTTAATAAATGCAAATATTCTTAATATTTTATATTCAAATTTTAATTTAATTAATTATTATTTTTTTTAAATCAATTATCAGTTGTGCTTTTATAATGTTAAAATAATACTTTAATTAAAATTTGCGATTATACTGAACTTATACTTATTATACTTATCTATATAAGTATAAATACTTATATATACGTATCTGTATGTACACATAACGTGTAGTGTCTTTCTTTGGAAGTGCATTTTGAAAAAATATTCGATCGGTTTTGCAAATGTTGATACATAGGTTTTTTATAGAAATTTATAAGCCGGTAATTTTATTCGCCAATCGGTTCTAACATTGACTCGCTACCTTGATATACTTCTAAATGTTATTATTCTTTTGCTATTTTTTTCGTTGTGACAAGAATCAGTTGTCGTTCAAATCCAAAATACTTAGCAGCATACCTATATGAATTGGCCCATATAAATGAATTTATACCATAACCATATAAGTAATTTAATTTTTAAAAAATATAATTAAAAAATAAATATAATTTATTATTTAAAAATCAAAAATCAAAAAAAAAATATTTTTTTAAAAAAATATAAATTTAAAATTTATATTAATTTTCCATTTAAAATTTTATTACATTTATTTAAAATATAAATTAATGTATTTTTAAATAATTTTAATTAATCAAAAATATAATTAATTTTTTACTCATCTATTTATATTTATTAATTTAAAAAACTTCTTCACTAAACTTATACAAGCAGTTAATACGCAATTAAACTCATATATATTGAAATAAATAATCAAATTTCTATATCATCTAATACCAGTTTTAAAACAGTGCACCAAACACTTGCAAAATCAAGAATCTGAACATGGCGGTTCGGAAAGGAGCAAACAATTATTACTTTTGTATTTAGGAATTTTTTTTTCCAAATAATTTTGTTTTTTTGTACGAAGAGGAGGTTTAAAAATGCATAATGCATCGTCACTATATCGTCACAATAGTGGTATGCCCGGTTTGCACGAACTAAAAACAATTCACCTTATGTGCCAGACCGTTTCTATCCTGCAATTTTATCGGGAATCCTTCAGGATTCTTCTCTATGTTGTGTTGGCTATCCATTAAAAAATTTTGTTTTCTTCTCCTTAGCCTGTGTCCAGGCCTCACTTAGAATTATTTGTCTTTCATAATTATAATCAGAAATTATATGTAATTCCTGTAAAAAATTACTGAACACAAACATGGCTGATCATACTCATAATCATATTAAGGGTGGTCTATTATCCTATAAGTTCTCTTTACATTATGAAATATATCTTTAGGAACTATTCCTCTCTTTTGGCTGCATACATGGTTTTAAACAACACAAAAATATAAAAAAATGAAGACTTGTTTTTGAAAGAGAAAAATATCTACGCCAACATTGTGGAGTAAATTAATAATAGAATAAATTTATAGTTAAGCTTGGAAACTTTCATAAAAAATTTTCAATATGAAAATCAGTTATTTTTTTTTGCCAATAGGTTAATAGAATCGAAAGTCACAATATGAGACTTGACCCTATTAATACCATTTTGTAGAATGAATTCTACAAAATTTCACACCGTGAAAGATCAATATGTAAAACTCCATTCCAATAATTAATGGCGAAATTGAGATACCAATGCGGTTTGCATTCTGAAATCTAAATTAATCTAAGCTACAAAGCAAGAAAATTACTACCACAATGATGAATGGGATGGAGATAACATGACGACCAATAAATTTGAAACATCAACGATGTTGTCTTGTGTGAACGAATTTGTTTGTATGTTTAATCTTTAATAAAGTTGATACCAGGAAACAATAAACTACCTTTTTCAAGCAAATTAATAGATTCTAGAATATGGTGGAAATTAATATAATCATAACTACATAATTGATTTAAATGTACATCCAGTTAACTTAAGAAAATTTTCAAGGTCTAATTTACTGAATTACTGAATTACTAATTTACCGATTTTGAAGCTTTTTTTGCAAATTCCTTGATTACTGAATGTTAGAGGCATAGCCAAGAATAGCTGCTCGTAAAATTTAATAAATGGTACATTGGAATATATTATCGTTCTAAAGTTATTAATCAAAAGCTATATTAGTTTTGAGACTGTTGAATAAAATAAATAAAATAGTATTGACACATAGACAAGAAAACATCTTTATATACTTTTTCAAGTATCTCAGAGAACATGAAATATATTTACTAGAAAAACATGTCATAAAAAATAGAAAATTTGTTAAATTTAATAAGGAATAGCGTCATCCTCCTAACTTTCAGAATTTCTGGCCATTCCATTTATACGTGATTTAATACGGTGCCTACGACAAATACTTCCAAAGATGTACTTATGGTTAGGTTTGAGATAATATTTAATATTTATAATGTAACTCTTCCCCTAAGGAGCATTTAGTTCTGAAGAATTAACAAAATGAATAAAGACATTTTTTCAAATCTGTACCATAGCGGACATTGGACCAATGTGAGTTCGAAGCTTATGGAAAAGCATATTATGTATAAAAAAATGTATTTAATGTCGCTTTTTAGTCAAATATGTAAAATAGTGCAAAAGAAAAAAATTTCCATGTTAAAAAACAAAATTTATTCCGTCATTCAAGTTGTGTCACTACTCATACGACAGTTAAACGTAGTTCAACTCTTACCACAGCTACGCCATTCTGTTTACTTGGGAGATCAACTCAGTCCGTCGTTTTTATAATGTTTTCACAGCAATAAACATTAAAGTATTTCAAACAGCAATAAATGTACATTTTTTTTAATTATTAAAATAAGCAAACACTTTATAGCACTTCCAATTTCGTATTATTCTTAATTTTAATATTATTTATATTGTTGTTTTTAGTAAACACTCCAATTAATACTTTCAGGAACCATCTCTGACAAAGTGAAAGTTTTCTAAGTTTACGTATAAAACCCTTATCCAACAATTAATATAAGGTCTAGAATAATTACTTTGTGAATAATAGAAGATAAATGTGCAGATCTAAATCTCGTGAAATGTTCAATTTCAGAAATGTTCAACTTGAGGCAACTAACAATCCGTCGAAGTTTCGCTAATAAAGAAGATGATCAGGTGACTAGATATGATGCCGGAATTTTCTATGATGAACCTGATAATAAGAAACTATTAAAGGCGATTGACATTGATTTGGATACCTTGTCGGGCTCTGAGGTATCTAACACATCAAAGGTAGAAATTAAAGGTAAAGTTGCTAACCCTGAAAAAAATTCATTACCAATGAATGAAATAAAATATTTGATGTGAAGCAATACGCAACAATTGATCAAATTCAAGTAATTCAGCTGTATATTTAAAATAAATTTTAATAATCGAAATTCAACATATATATAGAAAAAAAATAAGGCGAAAAAGTGACCAAAATTACACGAGTTCTACGCCATGAAAATTGTATACTGATTGGAAATACACTTATTTATTGCCAAATAGTAGCAGTGTAGTGCAGAATTTGTATTGATATGATCATCGGATCACACTTTTTCGAAAATGGCAGTGGCAAAGCAGTAATCATCAATCAGATATGTTATCGAGCTATGACAACCGATTTTTTTAATTCTAATTGTTTGAAAAATGGTATGCAGTACTTCTGGTTTCAACAAGATGGTGTAGTATCTCATATAGCTTATTTCACAATAAATTTTTTGAATCCATTGTTACCCGGTTTATTGATATCAAGAAATGATTATTTTGATTGCTCTCCGTGTTCGTTCGGTTTGTCACAGCCAGCTGGTTTACTTGAGGTCACTTATAGTCAA